CTGTCTGCCGCTCCCCCACTTGTGTTCTCTCTCAAATCAATCAATCAATCAATCTTAAAAAAGAAAGCATAAACCTGTTTCCTCTGAAGATTAGTTGTTTGAGCATACACCCCTGTTGTATCGGTAAGTGCTAAGGCAAGTATAGAGGAAGGGAATATTCAGTCTAGAAGAGGTTTAATCTCAAAAGGGTAGCAATACCCTTTATCCCAAACCTCGAAAGCAGATCGGGATGGAGACTGGTAGAGTAGGAGCCGCAGGGAATATGACAGGAGGACAGTCTGGGACCACAGCTCTTAATGCTCCCACCAGAAAAAGCTTCCCCTTCTAATTCAAATTCAATGCTCAGCTGAAGTTCTGCATGCCCACCCTGTCTGTCCACTCCTGTTGCTAATTTGTACTGAGAAAAATCATGCAATTTCTTTGCAGGGAGTGATCTTGGAGTTCATTTTGTTCTTACTCTTCATTTTATTTACTGTCATTTTGGGTTATCTCAGGAGCTCATATGTGAATGTCTTCTTTTCCCAGAGAGATTAGATATTTTCTGATGGCAGAGAACAAGATGAGGAGGATGTGTTGGGCAGATTACCAGGCCACTCAGCATGGGGGATGGTCTGAGGTTGGGGGGAACATTTATGGTCAGCCAGATCAGCTGAATGGCTGTTGTAACATCCAGGCACCAGGTGATAAGGACCTTGGTGGGAAGAGAGAGGACAAGACAAGACATGCTTTGAAAAGAAAAAAAACAAGAAAAAAACCATAGGCCTCCATGCGGTACCTTGTGGCATCTAAAATGTCAGTTCTGGAGCCAGACTGCCTGGGTGGCCAATTCTGGCTCTTTCCTTTAAAGCTCCTTCCTGTGACTTTGGGCAGGTCACGTCACCTAACCTAACCTCGAGTTCCTCATCTGTGAATTCCGACGGTAATAAAGTCCTTGCTTCACAGGGTTGTGAGGATTCACCGAGCTCACGCTAGTAAAAATACTGAGGCCACTGTCCCAAAAAGCTGCATTTAGTAACGCTGCCTGGGTGTTGGCATTTAGTAAATATTTGCAGAGCAAACAAATGGGGTGCTTTCAACAGACTTGTAGAGCCCAGGGGAGTGGGGTGCTTAGGGTGAGGCGTTGTGGTTCCTAGAAGTTCAGAGAAGATGGAAAAGGAAGGACAGCAGCTAAAAGGGAAAAACTGGGCCAAGGGAAGGATCTGCTCAACCAGGAGAGACCTGTGCTCGCCCAGCTGCCATGGAGGACGGGCCGAGGGAGAAACGGAGGAAGACGCTCGAGGGGACAAGCCGGCCCGAGGCAAGAAGGCACGGCGTGCCCAGTCTGGACGTGTTTGAACGGCAGCGTTCAGGGAGTCAGAGGGGTGGCTGTCTCGCTTGACAGCACCTTATGTCACAAACCGTCCTGCCACAGTGGGCTGGGGACCTGACCGTTGGCCGTTGGAACCACCGTGTATCACCCTACGTGCCCCGGACCCCTGCGGATGCTTCCCGTGTTCTTGTGTGAAGGAATCCTTCACTGCAACTTACACCACAATAGAATGGAAGCTAAATCTGCTATCAAGGAGTTTACTAACTGCTCCCCTTTATCAATTAACTGACTCATAGGAGGTAAAATTCACAACCCCCCACTGATAGGCTGTTCAGGCAGTTTGTTTGACTTATTGATTTGGGTGGGTTAAAAAAAAAAACAATCACAAGCTGGTTATCATCTTGTTACCTTTGGCCTGCCTGTTGCCTGTTTCTTTTTTACTAAATTAGATTCCACAACCTAACTGGGTTAAAAATTGATTTCCTAGGTCTTCCCAAAAATCTCCCCTGGACTGGAGTCATGATCACCTTTCTCCAGATGCACCATGCATAGTACTTTGCTTCAGCAGGGTTAAGGAGGCGAGGAACTCACAGGGCAGGTATTCAAAACACACCGCTTAATGGTGCCGAGGAGGGAAATGGAGTTAACTTTCAGGGTGCAAAAAAGATAGCGAAAGTCACTGAGCACGTTCTGATTCCATATACCCTGGACCTAACCACAGAGGATGTACGCAGAAATAATGTAGCTACAGCTGTGTGGGTGTGGGTGTGTCTGTGTGCGCGTGTGTACTGCGCCTGTGTAGACACACACACACCAACCATGCCTCAGAGTCCACCTTTCAGCCTCCCTTGGTTCTACTCTTACTTTCCGTCCATTCCTATTATTTACTCTTCTTCCTCCCACGCAGATGGGATGAGCTGGTCTTCGGAACGTACTGAGACCCGAGCCCGGCGCTGGGTAGGCGTTGTGCGCATTCGCGAGCCTAGTACTGCTTCCCACCCGCCGCCGGCTCCCCAGCGCCATCCACCCGCTTCAGCTCTGCCAAGTCCTTAGCTTCAGCCCTGCTCTCTCCGGCTTCTAGTCACTTAGGAGGCACCAGGCTGCTGTCCCTCTGACTTCGCACATGAAACGCCTAATCAAGCCCCATCCCCCACTCCAGCAACCAACTTGGGCTTGCCACTTCCCTATTGTTCTGGACCTTCTGTGCTCAAGACTTGCAGAATGTTACCAGGGAAACCTAGGCTCCAGCTCCTTCAGAAGATGAGAGTTGCCTCAATTCTGCTGGCTCCCACACCCCCGGTTCTGTGCCCAGCGCTCCAAAGGGCTAGGGATAGCCCAGCCACAGTCACTCCTGGGCCAAGTACTAGGAATGGGCTATCCCAAGCTGCAACTCCTTGGGAATAAATGGTCATTGCCTGGACACACAGACACTTGCCCAGGCCCCGGCCCAGGCTCTCTACAGTCTTTGCAGATGGCTGAATCAGGACGGAGGGGCTGTTCACCAGACGTGTGGTAGGTTCAGGCAGGAGGCCAGGGGATCAGCTTAAGAGCCGTGAGTTCAGATCCTGCTCCACCACCAATAACTCCTACCTCTCCGCATTATAAAGAGCAAAGTAACACCTTATGAAAGGTTCCAGCAGAGTATCTGCCCTTAACAGGTATCACTTCTCTTTCCCTCTCTCCCTTGTTTCTCAGGTCCTGTAGATCCTCTCTCCTTGTCTGAAGACACCACCCTAACTTCATTCCTGAGCGCTGTTCTGGCCATAGTGCAAACCGCCAGACATGGGCACTGGGTGCGACTGCACCATCTTGGCCTTGCGTCCTCATCTTACAGACAAACAGGTTCCAAGAGCAGCAGCTAAAAACCGTTTGTTGTCCATGCCTCTCTTGCGCAATTCCTACTACCTTAGGGGAAGGCCTTGGCCCCAGATTTGCTTGTGAATTCTTCCAGGATGTCTCAAACCCTGCCCCACCCCAGATCCCCCAGGACCCTGCACATACGTGGCTGGCATTCAAGAGAAGTTTGAGAACAGTGATGCAACTGTGTTAAGGTACTGAGTGGGTCAAGGTCGGTGGGATGCTCTTAAGAAAACTTAATAAATCCGGGGCGCCTGGGTGGCTCAGTTGGTTAAGCAACTGCCTTCGGCTAAGGTCATGATCCTGGAGTCCCGGGATCGAGTCCCGCATCCGGCTCCCTGCTCAGCAGGGGAGACTGCTTCTCCCTCTGACCCTCTTCCCTCTCGTGCTCTCTCATTCCCTTTCTCAAATAAATACTTAAAATCTTTAAAAAAAAAAAAAAAAGAAAACTTAATAAATCCAACATGGGAGAAAACGGTGTCAAGAAAGTCTCAGATGGGTGGTGCAGTATACCGGAAGATCTGGTTGAGGAACAGGAGATCCCAGAACCAGGCTGCCTGGGTTCAAATCCCAGCTTGTCTACTTAAAAGGTGGTGACTTCCAGCAAATCACTCAATCTCCTGGGCCTCAGTGTCCTCATCTATAAAATGGAGAAAACAGTGCCTGTCTCATGGTCCATAAAACCATGACATAATGAAATGATACAGTGATTTAAGGCACCCAGAATAGTACTTAGCACACGTGTGCCCAGTGAATAGTAACCCCAGAATGATGAAAGCAGAGGGACAGACTGGCTTAGGTTATGTGGAAGCAGCCTCTGGGAGTTAGAGGGACTTGTAGGGTACGGTAGCAAAAGGCTAGGGACAGCTTGTGCTCATGGTGGCTGAAGTTAGCGAGGGCAAGTTGTACACATTTAGGAGACAGATATGGGCCCCCTGGGAGGAAGGGACAGTGGTGGTGCCAAGAATTAGCCATATCATTTTTTGAACATGTAAGTTATCTCAGACATCCAGATCTTCATTTAATCCTCTCAACTACCCTCTAAGTAGTATTGTTTTATTAACGAGAAGGAAAAAGCACAGAGCAGTGACTTGCTCGTTATGACACAGCTGATGAGTCGCAGAGCTGAGTCAAACCCCGTCACTGAGTACCAGCTTTCTCCTGCAGCCCCAGCGAGGGTGAGTGGTGGGCAGGCCAGGGAGAAAGAGGTGCTAGGCAGGACAGGACCTAAGGGGGCTGGCTGGCCGACCTCTGTGCGGGACCAAGTAGGAAGGGACTCAAGAGCTCCGCGCCTGGGGAGGATGGGCCTGAGGACAGGAAACCTTCAGTTAACCTGACCCCCCCAGGTGCTAACCAAGCCATTCACAACTACCAAATGCATGCCTGTGAAACTGTTTTTCCTTTCCTAGCCCGTAGCTCGACGCTGGGTCAGCGGGCGAGAGGGGAAACAGGATGGCTTTGCCTGTGCCCTCCCCATTCTACACACACAAAAATCCAGGTGAAAATTCCCTCCACCCCCCCCCCCACACACACACCACAGCGAGTCACTGGGCCTCTGCCCTCCAGCCTAGAAAACACTTCTGGAATATGTTCTTATTTCACAAAGGAAATGGAAGCCCATCCCCAGCAGGTTTCAAAAACCTGGACTTAATCTGCTGATCTCGTGGAACATCAACCCGGAAACAATGAAGGATGGCAGCCCTACCGATATTCCATGCTGAGCAAAGCTGGCTCCAACCATTTGCCCAGGTGCCCCCAAGGACACTCTCCGTTATGAAGATATCCCCTGTGTGTTTTTCTTTTCCCCACTTTGCACCAAAAAGCCAAACCACGCTCCAAAACAAAAACCAAATTTATTCAGCAGACATTTTAATTAAGAAATCCTATAAATCAGGACCACCACGATTTCTGACACTCCGGTGCGAAGTGTACGTCAATAGCTACATCTGGAGGATGAACAAGCCATTGAATCTGTTTTTTAAAACTGGTTTAGCTACCTTAATTTTGGGGGTGGCACTTCACTTAAAGTGCCGTCAAGTTTCACAAGGGTAAAGCCAGTGGGTTCTCCTCTCGGAGAGTCACATTTTAAACACGGTTTCAGTCACTCACAAGAAGAGCTGGTGACAGGAGGGAACTGTGAGGGATGAGGGCCCACAAAGGCTCAGGCCCACGGCTCCACAGACGGCCAGAACAGAGCAGAAAACCCGCCGGGGTCTCATCTCTCCCGTGCAAACACCAGGAAGGGTGGAATAAGAAAGTCTGGCTGAGAGGACCCGGGAGACCATTTAGGACTTTCTGAGAAAGCTCATGGCATGGCCAAGAGTGGCCCCGAGAGAGGAGGAGGAGGAGGAGTTCTGGGAAGAGGAAAGCACAGGAAAAAAAACAAAATCACTCTCCCCATTTGTCCCTCTCTGCCTCTGTGTGTCCTCAGCGGACTCCAAGAGGTAGGCAAAGCACAGACTGCGCTCTTCCTGGAGCAAGAGAAAGAAAAGACAAAAGGGCGAATCTAGCTGTCCCAGGAACCCCACAGCCTTTTACACAGCACACTGTGACCTTCACCCACAGGTGGCAAGGTCAAGTCAGTTAAAAGTCCACATTCAACTCCAACCCTACCCACCTTCAAAATTCTCCACCTCCCTCTAACCCACTAAACAGGAGCTCCATCTCCCACAGCCACCAAACACCAATTAGGTGGGAAGAAGGGGGTGATGGCAACCCACCCACCAGCAAGCTTTTACATTCTTCTTCCCTCCGGAATTTCTTTGCACAGCCAATGTAGCACCATTTTCACTAAGCTCTTCCACCGGAAAATAAAATGTATGCGTATCATTAGTTTTCAAGTATTGTTATAAAGCCCTGGCGATACCCGCCCCTTGGAGCCCAATCTTTAAACAATCGAAGCACACGACGCCCCCAAGGGTTAAATCAGGTACAAGTCGATGCAAGTAGCTGCCACAGTTCTCCCAGTTTATCCCAGGTCCTTGGCCCCGAGGTGGCCGGGGAAATTCTCACGCGGCACGTTTGCGCCCTGGCCCGTGCATTTCTCCACGCTCTTGTTCTCCGACAGCCTCGCTGGGACCGGTAAGTTCTCGCCTCGAGGTCTCTCCCCACGCGTCTCCCCGCAGCCTGGGCGGTCGCTCCCAGGACGGCGACGGCGGCTTCAGCTCTGGGTTGGGGAGGGCAGGACGCTGTTGGGTCTGCGCAGCGGCGTCCTCGCTCCTCCTGGGGCCCGGGGTCAGTGCAAGGCGCCGGAGGGCTGCAGGGCGACAGGGTCCGGTCCGCTGCAGCCGCCTCCGGGCCCAGAGGCGCCCGCGGGGCTCGTGGCTGCCACAGCGGCGACGGCTCGCTGAAGCCTCCGCACCGCCTCCTTGATGAGGTTCCCCGAGAGCACGAGCTGCTGCAGGAGCCGGTGCGGGTCGTCGTCGCGGGCGCGCGTCCCGGCTGGGGGCCACCGTCGCTGTTGCAGGCGGCGGGAGGCAACGGCGCCCCGCAGCCAACCTCGCCGGCACGGCCCGGGCAGAGTGCTGGGGCCTGCGGCGAGCTCGGCCACGAAGTAGGGCGCAGCCCGGCCCCGCACGCGGCCGCGGTCCCCGAGGGCGCAGCGCAGGGCCCCCGGGGGCGCCGGGCCCACCGCCTCGGCCGGCGCCGGCGGCAGAAGCAGCGGCAGCGCCGGGGGCCGGGCCTTGTCCGCCCGCACGGCCGCCGGGGGCCGCGGGGGCTGCAGCGGCGGCCCCGGGGGCGCGCACGGGGAGGCCGGGCTGTCCTGCGCCGCGTCCAGCTGCAGCGTCTCGCCGATCTGGGCCACCAGCAGGTCCACCTCGCCCGAGCCGCCCAGCGTCACCGACTGCTCCAGCAGGAGGAAGCTGTCCTCCTCCTCCTCCTCCTCTGCCTCCCCCTCCGCTTCCTCGCCGGCTTCCTCTTCCTCCTCCCTCCGGCACGGCATGGCCCCCCGCCCGGGCACCCGGAGCTCTGCGGCCGGCGCTGGCGGCTCGGCGGCCGGCGGGGCTCGGTGGGCCGCGGCGGAGCGGGGCGCGGGGCGCGGGGCTGAGGCCGAAGCGGGGGCGGGGGCGGGGGTCCCGGGCGGACGCGGAAGCGAGAGCCCGCCAGGCACTCGCGCCGCGCGCCTGCAGCCGCGGGAGCCGGAATCCTACCGGCTCGGGTTGATTTGTAAACAATGGGTGACGTCGCCGCCGGGCCCTACCACCGCGCCGGGCCGGGGAGGGGGACGCGCGAGCAGGGGCCGGGTAATGGGTCGTCGCGGGCAGTGCAGGGCCGCGGTCGGAGCCCTCTGGCGTTTGCTCTCGGTACCTACCTAGGAGGGGATCCCGGGAGTGGGGAGAGCTGCGTACTTCCTCGGCCCGGTAAGCAGCACGAGAGAACGCCGACTCTGAGGTGGTCTGGGTTGGTTTCTCCCACTCGCGGACACACCCACCCACACACCCAACCCCTCCTCCTCCGACGCTTCCTCGCTCCCCACGTGTCAGCAACGCTGGGGCCCTCCCCGCTCCTCCCCCGCGCGCCCGCAGTCACCCGGACCTGGCGTAGTGGGGGAGGGGCGGGCTCCGCCGGCGGTCCGGCTTAGGCGCGGGGGGGCGGGCGAGGAAAGGAGGAGGAAATTGGGGAGCAGAGAGGACATTGCAAAGGAGGGCAGGTTCGTTACAGGGTCGGGTGTCTGAGACTTCCCCTCTGCGCTGTCCTCAAGTCCCCAGGGACACTGGGAGGGAAGGACGCGCCACCGCAGGGCTAAAGAAGAGTTGATTTTGTTCATTAAAAAAAAGTTAAATAGAAATATAGGACGGCGGGGAAAAAAAACTCTCATAATCATAGGACTCAAACATGTTCACATTTAGTTTTTTTTCCCTTTCCAGCTTTCCTCTAGCAAAGTGTATCATACAAACAACCACACATAGTGTTAACGCTTTTCCACTTACACCATAAATGGTGTTCTTGTTATCGCATGCACTTTGAGAACCTATAATGATTACGGATGTTTCCATCAAGTTGCTGTTCCATAAATTATTTAACAATTCCTATAGCATTTGCTGTTTACCAAATTTCACCACTCTGTGTGACTAACATTTCTTTTCGTAAAACTTTTTCCATGTTCATGATTCTTTTCCTAAGACCATATTCCCAGGAGTGGAATTTTAGGTCAAATGATACGGATATTTTAAGGTTTCTGATAAAGGTACCAAACTGCTTTCCAAGAGTTGAGTACATCTATTCTCCCATCATTGTGTTGAGTATTATAGTTAAAAACAAATTTTTTTTTCTGAATTCATAGGTGAGACTGACATCTCCTTTGTGTTTTCATACCTTTTGATTTTTAGTTAGGTAGAGCAGTTTTCTAAATGTTAACCAACTGTACTTCCTTTTTTGGTTAATTGTCTGTTTCCTAGTAAATTTTTCCTCTTGAGCTTTTCTTATGTATTTGCATGACTCCTCTATACACCAGAAGTTAAGCTAACCCTTTTCTTTCACATTTTGCTCTATTTCTTCAGGTTTTTGTTGGCCCTGTACAGTCATTTTTTTTCCTCTGCTAAAATTAACAAATTTTATGTAGCTATATCTACAAAATCCCTTTCCTTGAGACTTCTAACATAATGCTAAATTTAGAGTCTTGTCTCCAGAAAGTTATTAAATATTCAGTTTTTCCCTTAGTTTTTTTTTTTTAATGCCTTGTGGTTGTGCGTTTTTGTTTGTTTCAAATCCATCTGGGATTAATTTTGGTCTTTGGTGTAGGGAGACGATATGAAATTTTTTCCCCCCAGAGTTTGCTGGTCTGGGCTATATGTCTTCATTAGAACAGAGGTGTGTGGGCAGTATAAGCCCAAGCTCTGTCCCTGTGAGCTCCTAGTTGCTGGTTAAGCTGATGGTTGTGAGGACAGGGTGGGGCTGGGAATATTTTGATTAGTCTGCTGTGTGGAGTCAAAAGAACCCTGAACAGGTTGTACGAAGATCTAGATTAAAGTCTCTCATTCCTGCCACGTCCTGGGTGTGTAGCTCCTGGCAAATTAGTTTACAAGTGTTTTCACTTGTAAAATAGAAAAATAATCCCTGCCCTGCCTCCCTCTGAGGATTGTTTTCAGGATCAAATGAGATAATGGGAACAGGCTTTGTCAGGCATTACACAAATGTAATGTGGGATTACGTCCAATGATTTACTAACAGAGGCCTGGCTCAAGTCCAGCGATTCCCCCAGGGAAACGGCTAATATATTAATGATAAATGTTCCCCCTTGCAGCCCACTAAGTAAAATGGACCCTGAAGGCATTACTTCCTTCCATTTACCCTTGAATTCTGCTTCCTGTCTACCCTGACTTGTGCTTCTTTGAGGCCTTCTGAAGTCAGCCCAGAGGCTCCCAAGTCCGAGGTCTGTCACCACAGCTAGTTTTGCAGGTTTTGGTGACATATCCTTTCCCAACTGGCAGCCTTCCTCCTCCGTCTCCGTGGAGGGCTCTTCACACACTTACTGATGAGGACTGGAAGCCATTCCCCCCAGAGAGAGCGATTCTCATTTTCGTTCTGATGGTACTTATGGAGAATTTCAATGGGAATAAAAATTAGGGGAGGCCTTAAGGATTTCACTAGAGTTAAATGGTAATTTTTTCCCCTCCTCTCTGTAAGAAGATGCCTGCCTCTAAGTAGAGAAAAGCAGTTTTATGCTCCATTGACTTTAAACATTAATGGAGCTGGTGTAGCTATTGTCTTTAACCCAGCATCTCTGGGAGTCGGTTCTGTCTTCTTGTCAGGGTAATTCCCATAGTGTTCTTAGTACTATAGGAAATGGAGCTTTGAGATGACATTCTTTTAAAAATCTTCCCTTTGTAATGTTGCTTTTGTGTGAAGATTGCTATGTAAATATGCCGGGGCTTGGTTATTATACTCTTCATTATAGAGATGAATTCATTAGAGAAGACCAACTCCATTTTCTGGGGGCGCTTCTCTGGGGAGCTCTGAGAAAAGGAAGTGCTGTGCTGGACCAGTGGGAGGCAGAGAAACGCCCTGGATTAGGAATCAAAATACAGGATGCTGGAGAGGCTCAGATGCAATTAAAAGTAATGAGAGGGCATCAAGAAAGGACGTGATGATTGCTGCACGCTGGGCATGGTGGCTGCCTGCCTGGAGAGAGATGCACACGGAGGGTATTCAGAACACCCCATGGAAGGGTACAGAATTCAAGGGTTTTCTGCATTAGTCTACACTGCACTGAAATCTTCCCCAAGGATTTGCCTTCCACATGGACTTCACTATCAGTTACTTGCACTCAGAGATACCAGCCAGGGTGCAGTGGGATGGACATTAGGTTTATAATCCCATCTGGATCCAGAAACTTCATCCTTCTGTGCCTCAGATTCTGAATGTGTAAAATGGGGGATGATCCCTTCTTTACAAAAATGTTATATGGCATGAGAACATGTGTGGAAAGGCTAAGCACATGGGCCCTAAGGGGTGACATTGGAGTTAGGCTCTGGGGGGTAGAAATAATCTTAGTGATGTTCAAATTAAAATAAGGCAAATTCTAAAAAAAAAAAGGCAAATTCTGTGGGCCATCAGCAGACAATCGATAGACAAATTGTGGCATATCCATACAGTGGAATATTACTCAGCCATGAAAAGGAATGAAATGCTGATATGCTACGTTATGCTAAGTTTTCAAAGAAGCCGGGCAGAGAAGGTGAAGTATGGTCCGGCTCTATGGAACATCCAGAATAGGTAATTCATAGAGCCAGAAAGCAGATTGGTGGTTGCTTAGGTCTGGGGGGGGTGGGAATGTGAGGGGGTACATAGAGATGGCTGCTAATGGGTACAACGTTTTCTTTTGGGAAGCGGAAGGTGTTTTGGAACTTGATAGAGATGGTAGCAACACAACACTGTGGGTGTACTAAATGTCACTGAGTTGTACGCTTGTGCTCTCTCACTCTAAAATAGATAAATCTTTTAAAAAAATTTTCTTTGGACAAAACTAAGTTCCAATAACAGAATAGCGATTGCCAAGGGTTAAGGGAGGGGGTTGGAGGGAGGCTGAGGGGAGCTCAGGAGAATTTTGGAGGGTGATGGAATCATTCAGTATCCTGATTGTGATGACGGTTACATACATCTATATATAGATCTTAAAATTCAGAACTGTACATTGAAACAACAAAAGAAACTGTGAACACACATGCACCTCATGGTGGTGGTTGCATGGGGGTACATGTTAGTCAAAACTCAATGAACACTTAAGATGGATGAATTAATCATATGTAAATTATACCTTAATAAGGTTGATTTTTATATTATTTATTTATTAGCACAAATAGGGGGACAGGCAGAGAGAGAAACCCCGCTGAGCATGGAGCCTAACATGGGGCTTGACGTCGGGCTTGATCCCAGGACCCTGAGATCATGACCTGAGCTGAAGTCAGACGCTTAACTGACTGAGCCCTCCAGGTGCCCCAAAAAGGTTGATTTTTTTAAAAATTTGCCTTGGAACATGAAGGCCATAGGCCCTATGAATTTTCTGTCAACCACATCGTATGGGTAAGTAGGAACCATGACAAATGGGCTGCTGGCCATGAGCCAGCCTGGGCCTCGTGGGGAGAGAGAAATGGGCAGGTTTGCCACGGCCTGTGGCTCACTTTGGGAGGCTGTGACCCTACCCGTTCCATCACCTGACACACTGAAGAACATCTGGTGTCCCAGGTACAGTGCCTATTTCTAAGGCCACATAGCAACAAACACTGGAGGCAGTCCTTACAAAGCTTAACAGTGTGTGGTGGTCAAAATAACGGCCCTCCAAGATGTCTATGGTCTAATCCCTGGGGGCCCTGTGAATATGTTACCTTACATGGCCGAGGGGACTCTGCACATGTGATTAAGTCAAAGATCTTGAGATGGGGAATTTATCCCAGATTGTCCGGATAGGCCCCATGTAATCACAAAGGTCCTTATGAGAGGGAGGAAGAAGGGTCAGAGGCAGAGATGGCTGGCTTTGAAGATGGAAGGGTCTGTGAGCCAAGGAGTGCAGGGAACCCCTCACACTGGAAAAGGCAAGGAAACAGACCCCCCCGCCCCCTAGAGCCTCCAGAAAGGAGCACAGCCCTATTGATACCTTGATTTTAACCCAGTAAGACCCACTTCAGGCCTCTGACACTAGAACTGTAAGAAAATGAATTTATGTTGTTTTAATCCACCAAGTGTGTGGTAATCTGTTACAGAAGCAATAGGAAACTAATACACGTTCTAACTCAGAAAAATGTGTAAGTAAACCATGATTGTACTCTACCTTCAATATGGGTTATAAAAGGATTGGCTTCCAAGCGTAAGGGTTCAACCCCAAAGGAGCAGCTCCACCCAGTCATAATGAGTTAGGAAATACTCAAGGATGGTGTGGCAGTGTTCACAAAAACCCATTCCTTCTTTGCTGGGAACACAGCTAGA